TTAAAGACACCTGCACTCGAATGTTTATAGCAGCACAATTCACGATTGCAAAGCTGTGGAAACAACCCAAGTGCCCATCAATACATGAGTGGATTAATAAAATGTGGTATATATATACCATAGAGTACTGTTCAGCTCTAAGAAATATTGGTGATATAGCACATCTTGTATTTTCCTGGATAGAGCTGAAACCCATACTACTAAGTGAAGTATCCCAAGAATGGAAAAACAAGCACCATATATATTTACCAGCAAATTGGTATTAACTGATCAGCACCTAAGTGGACACATAGGAATTACATTTATCGGGTATTGGGCAGGTGGGAGGGGTGAAGAAGGGATGAGCATATACATACACAATGAGCGCAATGTGCACTGTGTGGGGGATGATCATGCATGAAGCTCTGACTTGAGGGGGGAGTTGGGAAGGGCATTATATGTAACCTTAAAATATGTACCTCCATAATGTGCTGAAAAAAAAATTTCCTGTTTGCCTTTGACTTGAAATCTGTCTCTGATTTCTCTGGATTTACTACTCTTCTCTAAGACTATTTTTGGAAGTTTTAGTAAGTAGCTCCTCCCACCCTTGCTTCATTGATCATGGTCTAAGATTGTTCTCCTGTATTCTGAATTCTGACTTTCTATATAGTGTAACTTTGTCGTAATTGTTAGGCTGATGGTTTGAAATTTACATAAGTATTTTTTCTATCTTGCCCTTCAAAATTTTACTTATAATAATATAATTATCCTTCCCCTATCATTCCCATTGCCTCTTTTCTACTAATTTTTGTGCTTTTATTTAGATATTTGCATACTGGACATTTAAATTCCAGCATTTACATGCTGTCTTCATTCACTCAGCAAATAGGTGCCAAGCAATGTTTCAGGCATGGTAGACACTGCAGAGAACAAGATAAGACCCTGCCCTCACAGAGCTTACATTTTCATGGGGGATATAAATAATAAATAAGATGAAAAATAAAAGTCTCAAGTGAAGAAGAAATGAAGCAGGATAAAGATAGAGATAATAAGATAGAGATAAGATGTTCTTAGAGAGAGGGGGTCCGGTGAGGAGCACAGGCGTGAAGGAACAAAGGCTCCTGGCAGGGACTTGCTGGCACACAGCTGAGGACAGCAGGAATTCATGAGAAATACATTCTATATTGCAGCTATTGGACTTTTCTGTGATCATGTAAAAACAACCTTAGAAAACACATGAATGAATATGGGCTGTGTCCTATAAAACTTTATTATAAAAATAGGCAGCAGGCCAGATTTGGCCCATGGCTGTAGCTGTCCAAAACCTTGATGTTTTCATGTGTCTAAGAATCACACTTCTAACCTTTAGGAGTTGATCAGTTATAAAATGCTGTTCTGATTTTTTTTTTTTTAAGGAAGCCACTCAGTTTATTAGTTAATTATAAAACACTTTGTATACAATTGGATTTAGTCAATCTTATCCTTCAGCATGTTGAATATCAAACATGTGCTTAATTTTTATGGAATTACCTGTAAATCTTTAGACACGCAGTGATCCTCCACCCTCCCCTCGTATTCCCTTGCCTCTTTTACTGTCTTCAGCCTCACTGCTTTGACTCCTTTTCTGTTCTGTGAATAACAACCTACTACTTAGGTAAACTGGATTCCCTAGCATAAGTAAAAGCTTTTAAGTTGTAAAGAGTTTCCTTATTCTACATTCCAATGTTTGAGGTGATTACACAAGGCCCTTTGTTTACTGTGAATATAACATATGCATATATAATATAGCCAGTATATATAACATTCATCATGTGTATAATGTGATACTACCACTTGCTATAGCTTCACTACTTACCTGTTCTTGGGATTAAATAATGTATACATACAAATGCTTAGAATGATTTTGCCTGGTACTGAGTACTTAAAAATACTAGCTATTATTTTCATGGAGCTATTTAGGCATCATGTACATAAATGAAAAACTAGTGAAGGAAGGAAAATACCCCACAACATTCTCTTTGTTAATCAGACTTGACTGATCCTTTGAAAAAGACTGCAAATATCATTGGATATGAACTTATGAAAATGGAAAATATTTTAAGTACTGGCTTGACAGATATTTAGTGTCAGAGAAGATCTTAAAGATCATCTAGTTCAGGGTTTCTTAATGTACAATCCATGAATTCCTGGCAGCTGTAGGCAACAGTGTGTGTGTGTGTATGTTTGTGTGTGTGTGTTTGTGTGAGAGAGAGAGACTCAGTGTGGCTGAATCCTGTTTCCGCAATGAGCACCATTCAGAAGCAAAGACCTGCTCTGAGTCCTGGTTCTGCTCCTCTTGGATAAAGTGACTTCTAGCAACTCCATTTCTCTGAGCCTCATGACCTACCTGGCTTCTTTGTCTCCTAGAATTGTTGTAAAACTCCAACAAAAGCACTTTTGAATTATAATGTGTCATATAAATGTATAGTTGTGGCACTATTACAATGAGGAAACTATGGCCAGAGGAAGCAGTTGAGTAGTCTGCTCAAGGGACACCACCAGGTGGTCCCAGAGCCCTTACACCCCTCTCCTGAGGCCTTCTTAGTGCACCATTTCCTCAACATGGGGCCACAGCTTTTCCTGAGAACAAAACTTCCCAGTGCCAAGACCATTCAACAAGGGAAAATTGGCCTTTTCAGCAAATGGCACTAGGACAACTGGGCACCCATTTGCAAGCAGTGCAGCTGGTCCCCCCAAACATTCACAGTTTTAACTCAAAGTGGATGCAAGAACTAAATGTGAGATATAAAACTATGTAGCTCTTAGAATAAAACATAGGATTAAATCTTAATGATGTTGGGTTAAGCGAAGCATTAAATATAACACCAAACACAAGTGACAAAAGAAAAAGTAAATAAATTAGATTTTTGTGATTCATAAAACACCAGTAAGAAAGTGAAAAGACATTAAGTGGTGCAAGCTTGTATTCCTAGCTACCCTGGAGGCTGAGGCAAGAGGATTGCTTGGAGTCTAGGAGTTTGAGCTGTAGTTTGCCATGATCGTGCTTATGAATAGCCACTGCACTCTAGTCTGGACAACATAGTGAGTCCCTGTCTCTTAAAAAAAAAAGTAAAATAACAACCATCATAATGGGCACAAAAATTGCAAGTTATATATCTGATAATGGACCTATGTCTGAAATATATAAAAAATTTTTACAACTCAGCGAAATGGCAGATGACCCAATTTAAAAGTAGGTAAAGGATTCAAATATACATTTTCTACAAAGAAGAAATATAGATGTCCAATAAGCACATGCAAAGACGTTCAACATTACTCATCTGGAAAATGCAAATCAAAATCATAACGAGATATCATTTCACACCACTGGGATGGCTGAAATCAAAAGATAGACTACAACAACTGTTGGGTAGGCTGTGGAAAAATTGGAACCCTTATTCATTGCTTTTGAGAATGTAAAATGGTGCAGCCACTTTGGAAAGCATTCTGGCAGTTCCTCAAAATGTTAAACTTAGGGTTACCATGTGACCCAGCAGCTCCAGTCCTAGGTATATACTTAACATAAATGAAAACATGGTAAGTGGAAGAAGCTAGTCATGAAAGGCCACATGTTGTACGATTCTTATTTGTATGAAATGTCCACAATAGGCAAATGCATAGGATGAGTGGTTGTCAGGGTCAGAGTGGGAGTTGCAGTTGGAGGCTGAGGAGTGGCTGCTGGTGGGTACAGAGTTTCTTTTCCGTATGATGAAAATGCTCCGGGGTGAGATGCTGGTGATGATTGCATAATGCTGTGAATATACTGAAACCACTGAATTGTAAGCTTATTTAAAAGGGCAAATTTTATGATATATATCTCACTAAACTGTTATAAAAAAGATTGAAATGGTCCCAAATTTGCCTTCTGGGCTTTGAAAGATTAGAAAAGTGAAATCTTTTTTCTTTTTCCTTTCCTTTCTTTTTTTTTTTTTCTTTTCTTTTGTCTTGTCTTCTCTTTTCTTTCTTTCCTGCCACATGAGCTTTATTCACAGGCTTAGATGACATGACTTTAGTGGTCTCAGTGGGGTCCCCGGTGAGCAACTGCCTGAATGCCATGGGCATATACAAAGACACAGCTTCTGCTCAGGGGACACTCAGGACCTTGCCATAATGAAGGCTGGTGGCCATATTCACCCAAAGAGGGGTTTTTCCAGGTGAAGATTGAGGTTATTTACAGTGCAGCAGGGAAGCATGTTTGCATTGTGCCTGGCTGTATTTAATCTGTATATAAATCAGCGACAAAAATTTTCAGCTTCATTATTTTAGGGAATCTAATACTATGTTAATTTGTTCATTATGTGTATGTACATAGAGATAATTTAAGAAGAAAGCATATCAGTCACATTTATTTTTTAAAAGTACTTTAAACTACAAAACAATGATTTATTCCTCAACATCCACTTAGAAGTTAGTCATTTTACATATATACACATTAATATCTTGTTGTATGCACTGTACCTCATAATACAAAAAGATTACATGTGTGTATAATATACTACAAAGTTATTCCTGTATCTTAATTTAAAAGGAGAAAACAGAACAATCCTTTTAAAAATCAATTGTGTTCTAACACATATATTCTCAATCTTCTGTACATAAAAATCAACTGGGGCTCATTAAAAATATGTTTCCTGGGTTGCCAACCCCAAGAGATTGGTTCAAACTGAAATTTTAAGGAATAGCTCAGATGATTCTGAGGACCAGGAGTTTGCCCTGTGATAAACAGTGTCCTGGGGACCCCAGCCCAGATTTAGTAGGTAATAGAAGTGTCATTAAAGTGTCCTTCACATTACCATAGGTAATTAATAGGTATTAAGTTATTTTCTAGCCATCCGATACAGAAATTGATGACATCCACACTCTTATTCTGTTGTTAGAAAATGAGGGTATTTACTCACTAGCATAACACAGTCTTGCCACCTGCCAGCACCTGCGTGGTGCTGTCCCATTCATGCAGCCCTGTGTCTACCCGCTCTTTCCAGATTTCCTTTGACTTAGCTGAGTACACTGCAGATGTTGACGGTGTTGGCACCTTACGGCTCCTTGATGCAGTTAAGACTTGTGGCCTCATCAACTCTGTGAAGTTCTACCAAGCATCAACAAGTGAACTTTATGGGAAAGTGCAAGAAATACCCCAGAAGGAGACTACCCCTTTCTACCCCCGGTCACCTTATGGTGAGATTGCGCGTGCCTGGTGTTCTTTGTGGGCATTGGGTGTATCTGTCTGTCTTCTTTAGTTCTGTACAAGTCTCACGGCTGAAGTCATTCGGGCATGAGATTAACATTAAGATAGACTAAAGTGAGTAGACTTGTTGAGAAGCATACCTTTATACATTGGTAACTGCTAGTATTTGCAGCCGTTGCCTCCGGGGTGAAATTACCACCTCACTTCACCAATCCCTGTTCATTCAACCCTTCTATACAGATCACTTTAAAAGGAAAATTAGACTGAACATGATTCTTTTCCTGAACTATTATGAGATTGTATTGAAGTGATAAGGTTTCATGTTTATTTTACTGATAAAAGTTTCCCTGAGCACAAACCTTTAAAAAGAAATAAAAAGCAAAGAAAGACTATTACATGTAATGTGTTTATAAAGAATATGTTCATGGAAGACTTCAGTGATAAAATTTCAAAGCAGTTTGACTGTTAAGCTCCCCAACTTTTTACTTTCTAATTCTTAAAAAGGGAATATAGTGCACATTATAGGTGAATCAATTAGACTGTGAGAGAATGCACTATGGGCATTATAAAAGTAAGACATTCATAGTTATTTTTCTGGTGAACACGATTAACTGGCATAGAAACTTTCATTTTCTCTTTTGCTTTTCATGTATTTTTTTCTATTTTGATTAATTGCAAATATAATTTTGGTGAGCTGTTATTTAAGGTGAGTGAAAAATCACTGTCTTTTATAGTAAACTTCATTGCTTTTTAAAAATTATTCCAACAGGGGCAGCAAAACTCTATGCCTATTGGATTGTGGTAAACTTCCGTGAGGCATATAATCTCTTCGCAGTGAATGGCATTCTCTTCAATCATGAGAGTCCCAGAAGAGGTTAGTAAATTCACTAATTGAAAAGAGAATATCAGACTTTAACACCAGCAACAAAAAGTTGTATGTACATTCGGTATATACTGCGAAAAATTTTACATATGGTTTCTATTATGAATGTCAGAAGTTGTAAATGAAGAAATGTAAATCCAGCCTTAATTTTTAAATTTTATTTTAAATTTGTGGGTTTTTAATTCAACATATAGAACTGAAATAGTGTTCCAGTTTTACCATTTTCATTAGTAGGACTTATCAAGCATGTTTTCAACGTAAGTATTAGGAAGCTTCCGTATGAACACAAAGGAATAAGTAGTGAACTAATGGTTGTTTCTGGAGGTTACTTCTAATCACATAGACTAAATTTGTAGAATCTGTATTATTTTTTACTTGGAATCAGTTGAATATTCAATATTTTTTCTTTATATTCTATTAAACAGACTCAGAAATTACTATACATCTGGAGTATATTTTAAAATAAATTTGAAATTATTTTATTTTTATTAATTTTTAAAAATTGTCACATAATAATGATACATCTTTATGGAGTACATAGTGATGTTTTGATACATACAATATATGGTGATCAAGTCAGAGTAATTAGCTTATTCATCACCTCAAACATTTATTGTTTGTTAGGGACATTCAAAATTCTCTCTTCTAGATAATTGAAAATATATAATAAATTATTGTTCACTATAGTCACCCTACAGTGCTGTAGAGCGTGAGAATTTATTCCTTCTATCCAGCTGTAATTTTGTATTCTTTAACCAATCTCTCCTTGTACCCCTCTTTCCTGAAATCAGTTCTTACATTTAGAGGCATTATCAGTTTGTTTTTTTTTTGAAAACTATATTTGTTTGCATTGGCTTGTTGCCTCTTCATAGTTGTTGATGAGACTGTAGCAGTGTGATAGCTCTGCTGTTCACAGTATAGGTCCTAAATAACAAAATGTGTACTCCTGTTATTACTTCTGGTTTACTGAAGTGTGAGAACCCATTACAAAGCAGGCACACTCTTTACCAAGTAAAAATTATCCGTGTAATTTCCCAAGAAGTTTTATTAAATTTCACTATCATTTAGTCTTTCAGTCTGAGAACAAGTGAGAAGTCTAATGTTATAAGTTGTTTCATGCCCAACCAATAATGCTTATAACTTTTTCATTGAAATTTTATGTGACCGTATAGCTGCCTAATTAAATTAACAAGTCAGGAGAAAAGATTAAAGTGACAGGTTTATAATGATATCTTTAACGTCAGTACATTTTTATTTTATAATTGCTTAAGTTAAACATTCCTATGATGGGCATTTAAAGCATAAAAACCTAGCCTTTCATCTAGGTTGCCTGAAAAGAAAACAAGTTAACAAGCAACCAGAAACATTTCTTTAATTAATTTTACGTTTCTGGGTGTCTTTAATAAGGAGAAAAGAAAAGGATGAGCTTAGCTGTCTTTATCGGAAGCACTTGGTATGCAGGATGCTCAGAGAATCCATTCAGTAAATGGTAATCCCTGCGTCTTTTCTCACAAACATGTTTATACACATCATTTGAGTTTCTGTAATTCTTCCCCCCTCAACTTTTCCACCTGGAAAAAATATAAGTAGAAGTTAATTGTTGTGAATCAGGTTAGTCTAGGGAAAAGTCTTGTTAGGTTGTAGAGTGAAAAAATAAATTTAAATATAACTCTCCCCAGTCTTCTATTGTGTACTGCTTTTTGTCCTTGTGGATATTAATCACTTTCTTTTAAAAAACATTTTAGAAGTAATACTTCATTTGAAAGAAAATTAAAAAGTAAGAGGAGGGTATAAGGAGAAAAGGTTCTCTCCCTCATCCTGTCAACCTTAGCCTCAAAACTACTGCTAACATTCCTTGAGAAAGTTCCATGTGTCTTTAGATGTATAAAGAGGGTTATCCTATACATATTGTTCTTTAGCTTAGAGCTTCTGTTAAATATTTAAGAACTTAACCTTTTAGCATATACCATTTTGTTTTGTTGTATTATATACCTGGAAATCAATGATATCCTATTTTTACTCTATATAATCAAATAATGAAAAATATAGATGTATATGTGAAAATGATTTTAATACTTTTATATCTAATACCTAATATTTACACATTTCTTGAAACTTGAAAATTAATTTTTAAATTAAATTTATCTGATACTAAAGTTGTTTTGCCAAGGTTAATTTTTGTTTTTCTGGGGAGATTTCTTTGGCAGACTGAGAATTCCTTAGTGGCAGGACTGTGTTGTATTCTTAAATCTCCAGCTTCAAAACAGTGCCTAAGCGGCTAGTAATCATACAGTAAATATTTTTAAATGAATGAATGAATGAATATCTCCTGTTTCAATAAAACTTTTAACTTGACAGCTGGGTGATCTGAGTTAGAGAACAGTAGAAATGTATGAGATAGTTTTAATAAATATTATTTCATTGATATCATGCATATAGTATTTAAAGCTAATGAAGTATTCTTTTTTTAATAAAGTATTCTAAAGTAAAGATTCAGTCTGATATACAGTAATAAACAGATAAACTTATTTTTAGTTAATCTTAGTTTGTATACATACAATATGCTATGATACTTTAAGTGAATTTATTTTCTTACATTGGTTGAGCATTGGTCACACCAATCCTCTTATGCCCTGTTATTAGAGGGAAGTGACACTTTTTTTCCTAGATGGTGCGGTAGTACACCTCAGTCTAGACCTAGGTATAAGATCACAATTGTCCAGTTAGTAGAGCCAAAGTTGATGCAGTTTTAGGGGGGACATACACTTTTTCTCTAATAAAAAATAATTGACTTTTGATTACGTGAGTAACATTCTATGAGAATTTCTTACTTTAAAAAGTATGGAATAAAGTATTTTTTTAATGTAAAGATTGGTTATACCAGAGATAGACAAACTATGATTCAAGGGCCAAATCCAGCCCACTAGCCCAAGTTTGTAAATAAAGTTTTATTGGAACACAGCCAGATTCATTTCTTTACATACTGTCTGTGGGTGTCTTCTCACTGTAGAGTCCTGTACCTTGCAGAGCCTAAAACAGTTACTGTCTTGGCCTTTAAGAAGACATTTGCTAGTCCCAGCTTTAGCCAGTTAAATCCTCAAAATTTAAGAAGTTTTCAGGTGTTTACTGTGGATTTCTCCCAAGGTAGCAAGGTAGTTTTTTAGAAAAATTTCCTACAAATGTTAAAGTCAAAGCGTTCATAATGAACCAATCCTTAAACAGAATTCATGAAGTGTTTTGGTGAGTTGGGGTTCTATTGTCCTCTACTGCTCTATTTAAGTGAGTAAATCCTCTGAAGGACCAAACACTGTGACCAAGTGCTCTAAGGGAAAGCTAATTGTCAGTGAGGTATGGAAGCAAACAAGCTAGTAGCTGACCACACATCTGCAGCTTGGTTCTACCAGCAACCACAGCTCCTGAGCTTGGACTCTTTCTCATGATGTTTTTGACTGCCTTAAGTGTCTATGGTTAGCATCAGAACAACAGTCAGCAATCACTGATGTAGGGAATGAAGCTGATAATCCATTGATTGTCCTCTGCTTCCCTTACCAGCCACCCAGCCATCATTGAAGGCAAGACAGTGGGTACAGTCATGCTGTAGGCTTGCTTTTTATGAAATGGAGGCACTTTAGTTTAGTAATATTTACTATAAAATAGTGAAAATAGTTAAAATTTTAGAATATGTCCATAAGGCATGTATGGAAATGTATATATATCAATGTATATTTTATGAATAACTATTATTATGTACTATATGTTGATCTTCACAGACATTAACAAGGTAACTGTGTTCCTATACAGTCAGTTTTTTAAAAAGAAAGAATAGACAGTTATGTACCACACAACAGTGTTTTTGGTTGACAGCAGACTGCATGGTGGCCCCATAAGATTATAGTACAATATTGTTACTGTACTTTTCTAAGTTTAGGTCTGCTTAGGTACAAAAATACAAATAACCTCATTTTATTGCACTTCATAGATATTGCTCCTCCCCCCCCCCCTTTTTAAATTGAGGATTTGTGACAACCCTGGCTTGGGAAAGTCTATTGATGCCATTTTTCCAACAGCATGTGTTCACTTCCTGTCTTTGCATCATGTTTTGATAATTCTCACAATATCTTGAACATTTTCATTATTATTATATCTGTTATGGTGATCTATGATCACGATTATTGATGTTACTATTGTAATTGTTTTGAGATACCACAAACTTCAGCCATAGAAGACAGTGAGTGTGATCAATAAATGTTATCTGTGTTCTGACTGCTCCACTGACTAGCCATTCTCCTGTTTCTCTCCTTCTTGGGCCTCCCTAGTCCCTGAGACAAAACAATATTGAAATTAAGCCAATTAATAAGCCTATAATGGCCTCTCAGTGAAAGTGAGAGTTGCATGTGTCTCACTGCAAAATAAGGCTAGAAACTATTAAGCTAGATAAGAAAGGCATATTGAAAGCTGAGATAGGCTGAAAGCTAGACCACTTGTGCCAAACAAGTAGCCAAGTTGCAAATGCAAAGGAAGAGTTTTTGAAGGAAATTAAAAGTGCAATATTAGTGAAGACACAAATGATAAGAAAGCAGGACAGCTTTATTGCCGATACACAAAAAGTTTGTCTGGATGGGAGATCAAACCAGCCACAAATTCCCTTAAGCCAAACCTACATCCAGAGCAAGGCCCTAACTTTTCAATTCTGTAAAAGCTGAGAAAAGTGAGGGAGCTGCAGAAGAAAACCTTGAAGCTAGCAGAGATTACTTCATGAGGTTTAAGGAAAGAAGTTGTCTCCATAAAAGTGCAAGGTGAAGCAACAAGTTCTGATGGAGAATCTATAGCAAGTTATCCTGAAGATCTAGCTAAGATCACTGATGAAAGTGGCTACATTAAACAATAGATTTTCAATTTAGATGAAACAGCCTTCTATTGGAAAAAGTTGCCATTCGAGAACTTTCATAGCTAGAGAGGTGAAGTCAGTGCCTGGTTTCAAAGAACAGGCT